CCCTCAATGAGGCCAAACTTAGATTAACAAAAAGTTTAGGGGTATGTGTACCCCTGCGTCCCACCAGAAAAAGAAGCACTGTATATAATACATTTTGATGATCTGCAAGGTAGCAGAGTAGCTTACAGCTAGGAAGCTTCTAGGTGATTGATTGCTTCTTTGTAAAGCCTTTATATTCAAAAGAACTTTACTTTCTTTTCTTTCTTTTTTATATATAAATTTTTATTAGTTTTTTAACATATCATTTTCAAGGTCATTGAGTTTGACCTCAATCAGGCCTTACAGTTTCTTATGAAAAGTTTTTACTTTTGCCTTAGTTTCTTCTCTTTGTTCCTTTCAGAGAGCTCCTGCACAGGTTTCGCCCTATTAACATTTAGGGATCTTCCTCTGTCTGTTTCACTTCAGACAGATCACACTGACACAACACTGCCCTCAGCAGTATCCTGGGAAGCCTCTCTCAGGAGCCATTCTGGGGGGGAACAGTTAAAAAACAACAGTTACTGGAATAACAGTCACAACAGAATGGAATGCATCTCTCATGTGACTCACAATCAGCCAATCACATGAGAGCTACTGCCAGAGGGTGGGGGGAAACCCATGTTAAAATTACAAAGTAATTTAACATAAGTAAACATTCCCTTTTCAGGAAATTAAATCATTATCCTTAACAACTGTCAGTCTTTGCCCGCTTAGTTCACTATTAGCATGTACATGTTGATGGGACAGAATAAAGCCAGAATCTATATATTCAGAACACGTCTTGAAAATATTTTGTAACCAAATGAGATATACCGTATTTTTCGCCCTATAGGACGCACATTTTCCCCTCCAAAAATGAAGGGGAAATGTGTGTGCGTCCTATGGGGTGAATGCAGGCTTTCGCACCGACCCCTCTCGCTCTCCAGGCTTCAGTAAGGTCTGCGCAACCCTCGGGAGGCCGGCTCTGAGGGTTGTGCAGAGCTGCCTGCAGTCCCAGGCTCAGCGCAGCTCTGCACGGCCATCGGGAGCGGGGCGCGAAGTCCCGCCCGGCTCCCGGTGGCTGCGCAGAGCTGCCTGCAGTCCCGGGCTCAGCGTACTTCTCCCCATCGCCAGCCCCACAAGCTCGGGGGACAGCGGGGAGGCGGAGTGCGCCTTCCCGCTGTTCCCCGACCTGGTTCTTCCAGCCCCACACCTGGGGGGGAAATAAAAAATTTTTTCTTTATTTCCCCCCCAAAAAACTAGGTGCGTCCTATGGGCCGGTGCGTCCTATGGGGCGCAAAATACGGTAATCATTGTCTTCCTAAAAATCAGCTTCATCCAATGAGTTCTTGGCCGGCAAGTGAGGTTTCAAATCACCCACGGCTTGCGAAAGGTGGGGTGTCAGTCATTCAAGAGAGAAATGATCTATTTCTAATGTGGGGGGGCCCCACCAGGCTGGGCCAGCCCAATACATTTTGGCACCCAAGGCAGACCTGAAAATGCCCCCCCTCCCCGCCAGGTAAGAAGGCAGCCAGGGAAGTTCTACTTCAGAAATATGGGGTGGGGGGGTAAAATAAAGATTGACATTGGGATCTGCTGCCCCATGGACCCTGCTGCCTGAGGTGGTCACAGTGCCGGATTTACGTATAAGCTAAACAAGCTATAGCTCAGGGCCCCACTCTCTTGGGGGCCCCCCAAAAAAACAAAGGAAAAAAACCTGGATGTACCTTTCCAAAATATAAGACGAAAAACAAATAAAATAAAACCTACATACAGCAACAGTGTTTTGTGTTGTGTAGGCTCCTATGCTGTAAGTACAGTGGTATCTCAGGTTACAGATGCTTCAGGTTACAGACTCTTCTAACCCAGAAATAGTACCTCGGGTTAAGAACTTTGCTTCAGGATGAGAACAGAAATCGTGTGGCAGTGGTGCAGCAGCAGTGGGAGGCCCCAATAGCTAAAGTGGTACCTCAGGTTAAGAACAGTTTCAGGTTAAGAACAGACCTCCAGAACGAATTAAGTTCTTAACCCGAGGTACCACTGTAATGGGCCCTGCCTGCTAGCCTGCTCCCTAAAATATCACTGGTTTGCTCATTTCTATATATAGGGTGCCTACATTCTGCATGGACTGGTTCCATGGCAACATGTGCAAATGGCTCTAGATACCTGTTAGGTCCATAAATTACCATATAGCATATACAGTCATACCTCGGGTTAAAGACGCTTCAGGTTAAATCTTTTCAGGTTGCGTCCCGCGGCGACCCGGAAGTAACGGAACGGGTTACTTCTGGGTTTCACCGCTCGCGCATGTGCAGACGCTCAGAATGACATCATGCGCATGAGCAGACGCGGAGAATCGTTCGCATCCAGAGGTACCACTGTATTCAACACAAAAAACAGGGACAATTTGTTGTTGACAAAGGGTAGCTGAACATATAAAAGGCCCCATTACCTTCAGTAGCTTAGGGCCTCATCAAACTTACTGTATTTTTCGCTCCATAAGACGCACCTTTTTCCTCTTAAAATCTAAGGGGAAATGTCTGTGCGTCTTATGGAGCGATTGTGTGGTTCCTGGGGCTGGGGAGGGGGCAGGGCTTCCCCCACCAGCTCCTCAACCTCTGGGAGCAGCGGGAAGGCTGTGCGCAGCCTGTCCCCTGCTCCCCGAGCTGCTCTTTGGGGCTGGGGGGAGGGAACCCGGGCTTCCCCCGCCAGCCCCACAAGCTCCTGAGCAGCTCTGGGGTAGCCAGTGTTGGGCTGCCCTTCTTCCTCCTCGGGGAAAAGCAACCAAGAGCCACACACACACTCCACGCGGCTCGTGAAAGGGAGCGCTGAGCAGAGCCTGAGATGCAGACAGGCTCTGCTCAGCGCTCGCTTTAAATGATTTTTTTCCCTTGAATTCCCCCCCCCCAAAAAAAGTAGGCGCGCCTTATGGTCAGGTGCGCCTTATGGAGTGAAAAATACGGTAAATCCGGCCCTGGGTGGTCAGCTCAGCTCATCCCACCTCATGGGTGAGCTGGCCCTGCCAACAGGAGAGAAACCCTAGAATTAATGTTTCTTCGGGGGGGGGGGGCTTGCTAATTCTGCTAGACACTTGCCCAGACGTTCTCCCCTGACAGCACTACTGGCATTGGACTGATATTAGCCAGGCCACCCTTGTCTATTTACATCGCTCTCGTTAGCCAGAAAAAAATATAAAATAAAAATCACGGGCTAGGAATGGCGCTGCCATTAAGAGTGGCTCATCTCTCGCAAAATCAATAAAGGCTTCCGATTGCTATCTGGAGGTTCTTTCATGCTGGAGCATGCACACACACACTCATCTGTTTATAGGCTATGGAGCCATTCGCTATACAAACACACGCACATTCTGAGATAAGGACTAGGTTTGGGGTTGTGAGTGTGTGTGCTTTAAAGGCAGGCGCCCACTCTCTTTGTTCGAGCGCAGCTTCTCCTTTGCATAGTCAGAGAATTCCAAAAGCAGCGTTCTGGCACACCCACTAGGAAGAAACAAAGCTGAAACAGGCACCACCAGTCACCCCGGGGCTTTACCGAAGAAGAAAGAGATGGAAAGGTGTGTTTAGATGGAAGAGTCATAGATACCCAAGGCTTAGGCCAGGTGCTCCTTAATTAGTCGTATTAACATCTCGCTGGAGCGAGTTCAGAGTGAAGGTGAGCCTTTCTTAGCACAACTGGTTTCCCTGGCTGGGCTGTTTCATTACAGGCATGGATGGCTGCTTTTCATTTCTTAGATCCCCTGCTGAGAAGTTTTTTTATAAAAAAAAAGAGGTCAGGAAGTCTCCTTTAAACAGCTGCCTCCTGTTGATGTGAATCTCTTGATTATAGTTTATTTTCAGCACCTGTAATCGCCACCTTCTGCTGTCATTGATAACATTAAGTCAATCATTCACAGAGGTGCAGGTATGCAACTCTCCAGCAGGCATAGGCAAACTCCAGATGTTTGGGACTACAATTCCCATCATCCCTAGCTAACAGGACCAGTGGTCAGGGATGATGGGAATTGTAGTCCCAAACATCTGGAGGGGTGGAGTTTGCCTATGCCTGCTCCAGCGCCTCCAGTCCACACAATAACCCTGTGAAGTCGGTTTGGCTGAGAGAGTCATCCTGCCAACTTTCGGGCTAATTTCAGGTCTCCCAGGCTACAGTTATAACTGCCATCCCTGATTGTACCATAAATGTCATGGATCCAGGTCTCCTTTCATACACAGCATGGATAGGGAACCCGTGTTGTCCCTCCAGACTACACCTGGACTACACCTCCCATCATCTCCTATGGACCACCCTGGCTGGGACAGATGGAGCAGGATCTGGAGGACCACGGGGTCCTTGCCTCCTCTGAAGGAGGAGGGGAACTCTGTTGCCAACAGAAAAATAAAGATCTGCCTTGCTTTCATTGGATCCTGCCTCCACCCATTACAGTGGTACCTCGGGTTAAGTACTTAATTCATTCCAGAGGTCCGTTCTTAACCTGAAGCTGTTCTTAACCTGAAGCACCACTTTAGCTAATGGGGCCTCCTGCTGCTGCCGCGCTGCCGGAGCACGATTTATGTTCTTAACCTGAAGCACTATTTCTGGGTTAGCGGAGTGTGTAACCTGAAGCGTATGTAAACTGAAGCGTATGTAACCTGAAGTGTATGTAACCTGAGGCACCACTGTATTCTCTGACCAATAATGGACTTAGCAGACACTTGAGTTCCTTGATGGGGAGTTGGGTTGCAAAAGCCAACCCCAGGTTTTTTCCTGCGACATCCCCCATGAATTTATCAAATCCTCTTTCAAGACATCCAAGCTGGTGGCTGTCACTGCCTCCTGTAGGAACGCGTTTGGTTCCAACTATTGGTAAGTCCTTCCTTTTATCTGTTTCGAATTTTCCAACATTCAGCTTCATTGCAAGTCCCTGAATTCTAGTATTATGAGAGAGGGAGAACAACTTTTCTCCATCCACTTTCTCCATGCTAGGAATAATTTTACAAATGTCTATGTCGCCTCTTACTTGCCTTTTCTCCAAACTAAAAAGTCCCAAACGCCGCAAGCTTTCTTTGTCAGAGAGTTACACCAGAACCTTGATCATTTCAGTGGCCCTTTTCCAAATCTTTTCCAACTCTACAATATCCTCTTTGAGGTGACCTAAACTATATATGGGACGTGGGTGGCGCTGTGGGTTAAACCACAGAGCCTAGGACTTGCTGATCAGAAGGTCGGCAGTTCGAATCCCCACAACGGGGTGAGCTCCTGTTGCTCGGTCCCAGCTCCTGCCAACCTAGCAGTTCGAAAGCACGTCAAAGTGCAAGTAGATAAATAGGTACCGCTCTGGTGGGAAGGTAAACGGCATTTCCATGCGCTGCTCTGGTTCGCCAGAAGCAGCTTAGTCACGCTGGCCACATGACCCGGAAGCTGTACGCCGGCTCCCTCGGCCAATAAAGTGAGATGAGCGCCGCAACCCCAGAGTCGGTCACGACTAGACCTAATGGTCAGGGGTCCCTTTACCTTTACCTAAACCATATACAGTATTTCAAACGTGGTCGCAACATAGATTTGTACAATTTGCCTTTTTCGCAGCCACTGCATGCTGGGTCAACATCTTCGTCAAGCCAGTAGAAGGAGCAGAGAAAGCTTGTCACAAGCTTAAATCTGGAGATGGATGGCAATTGAGATGAGAGAGGTGCGAGGAGGGTGAAACTGAAAGGCCCTTGTGATGTGGGTGCTCTTATTGAGGGTCTGACGCATTTTTAGGTGCTGAACTGCTTGCTGTAAGGGTATCAGTTGGCTTCCAATATGCTCTGCTTGTATATTTGTACACCAAATCAGTATTTTAAAAATACACTCAGTCTCCAGGGCTGTTTCACTGAACGGAAACTGAAACTTGTCCTGTTACTCTTAGGCTTTTCACTGATTGGATGCACTTATCTATATTTTTGATCTCCCTTGCAAGGTAAAATATTTTTTCTTCCCAAGAAGATCAAGTAACTCCTCTTTAGCGGACATTGTTACTAGTCCATCTCAGGGAAATGGTTTGCAAAACAGCCCTTTGTGCCAAACATCCCCCATCTGCAACCTCAGACTGAAGCAACTGTATAATTATTTACAGAGCTGGGACACA